GTGAAGTTTAAAGACCACAATAGACCGAGAATTTAACCTCCCAGAAGACCATACTACACAGTGATGATGATAAACCAATAAGCTTGACCCTTAAGCAGAAACAAAGGCAAGCCTGCAGGACCTGCCTGAATTTGTACAAGAAAAACAAGGAGGCACTTTAGAAATTCATATTGACAGGAGTACATATCAGCCTACAAGTTGGTGGATTTTTCGCTTGCTGTGGACCCACAACGAATAAACTTAAAACTTCAGTGTAAGAGCTGCACTATTTTCCAGCTGTGCCAATAACTGTTTAGGAAGATGTAGTCAAAAAGGCTTTATCTTGAGCCTCTTCTTAATAGTATTCTTCCCATCCCATTCAAGCAGTGGTTTCAATTCTATTTAAGGCTTTATTTCCTCATTTCAAGGACTTCACATTAGTAATTGTTTAGATCATGTTCTGCTGCATGCTTAGAGAAGTCAGCTTCCAAATTTTTGTACTCCAGAAAAATCTAGCTAACTCATGCTTTTAAAGACAGGCTCATTAATCCATCACCAACTCCCAAGAAACCTTGAACTTGAAGCAGGACCACATGCCTATGCACTACAGGAAACAGCCATTGGGCCCTCTACAAGAGGGACACTATCCACCACACAGTTACCAGTTCCACACAGCCAAAAAGTAAAGCAGCCCAAGCATGACAAGACCACTCTTACACAACAATTCAATAGAAAGCTGGCCAGAATCTGAATTGAAGATGTATAAAGTAATGAGGTTTATCAATAGAAAGTTTTGGTTTTAAATCAGCTTCTGCTCTGCACAATGTATTCCCCAGTCTTAGCTCTATTAACTAACACAGTTTACTGATTACTCCACTTAGACGACAAGTTAATAGCCACTTCCAAGACAAGTACCTAGTCCTGTAACTATTCCTCTAATATTTGGTTGCTGGTTCTCTTCTCCCAGTGAAGAGGTAATAAGGCTTCTCGGCATTTGTAGAGATAAACTGAAAAGGTTCTTCACAGATTCCCTGGTTGCATATTCCTACTGCATGCCAGGAAGTAATTAGTCCAACAATCTTGCTTATTAGAAAACCTACGAACATCCATTACTTGTCTATGTACACTCAGCTTTTAGAAGCCTCCGCTGAAGAACGCTCAAGTGAAGCGATCAATTGCAAGGCAACCAAGTGGGGTAGGACTGGCTATATGGCACCGGAGGATTTGCAAGATAGTAATTGCTGAAGTTTACATCACTAACATAAGGTGCTGGCTGGTAGTAACAGGTAACAGTAGTGGTGTTAGGGATGATGTTCTGTTCTGCCAGCACTTTGAGTGCCAGCAGAGAAATCAAGTTGAGAGTCTGTCTTCGCTCGTGTCCCATGAGACACACAGTGCTCTCATTCACCACCCTGCGCAGAATCATGAGGTAATCATATTTGCTCCTCTCTTCTTTGGAGAAGTGGTTCTGGAGGTAGGTCTCTAGTTTGCGCTGCTGATCCAGGATGTCTGGGAAGTCTATGAAGAATCGCGAGCACATGTAGCGCTCTAATGTTTTGATCTCATCTTTATCCATGGGCCGGAAGTCTCGCACTAAGAGGTTACTGTATTTCAGAAGTCCACCACCTCGGATCTCTTCAGGATTTTTGGTAGCTATCAGCTTGTTCTGGAGGTGATCAAAAGCTGCTTCAAAATCTCCATACATACTCTCCCCAATCACAGTTGGATGGAAGTGCTCTGACATGGGGTTTTCTGAGTAGTCATAGTAAAAGAGCAGGGAATCCAGTATGATTTGGAAAGAGTCTACACTGAACTCAAACTGGCGTCTTATGCAGTCTACAAACTTCAGCTCCACATTCCTGCCATGTTTATTGGAAAGTGATATCAAACTCCAACGATCAGACTCCGTGGACACTTTAACTAGCTTCTGGATGTAGGCTTCCTTCAGTGTTACTGGACTGATTTTCAGTTTGCTTACTCCTTCTGGTAAGAAATTCAAGAGGGAGCGCAACACCACATCTCGAACCAACTGAAACTCTGCCTCACTTGGAAGAGAAACTTGAAAAATGAGATCCAAATCCTTACAGCCCAGACCATTATCTTTGACCAGGACATGGCCAGCTGCAGAGCCGTTCAGACGGACATCATGTACTGCAATGCCTGCTTCATTCAGCCTACTTCGAACGGTCTGAACTATGTCCTTCAGAGTTATCTTCAGCGTTGGGAAGTTACCCCGGCCATGGATTGGAACCACCTCTGTAAGAACTTCATGCAGGCGGCTGACCTGCTCCCAGTTCAGCACACTGCATGACATGCAGTCTGTATTACTTCCTTTGCTTGCCATGGTAAGGTTTTTCTTCTCCAAAGAAACTGTAAGGAAGTGGGAAAAAAAAACAAAAAACAAGTCAGACTTTCAGTTTGCACTGCCTAGCTCTGCTTTCTGTCTACATACACAAACTAGAGAGAAATAGCTTTACATACTAACAATTATCAGCAAGCTTTCCACCTGAAGTGGTTCTCAACTGCCCCACGAGTATAGGCTCAAAATGTAGTGATCAGTGTCCTTTCTAATGAGATAGCATTAAGAATTGGATAAAAGTAGCTTGTTTCAAAGGGAAAGCCTCAATGAATAATGCATAAACTTCATCCAAGTTTCCAAGATCATCTGCAGTACCAGCTGAAGCAAGTGACAATCATAATACTTGGAAGTGTTTTGTGCTTATCACTGAACTTGTTTCACTATAGTTAAAGCTTAAACACCTCTCTCCAAATAACATGACAGTAAGAGATATCCAGGTGCTAGTTTCAGAGCTTAGAAATCCAATTAGTGCCTTCAGTGGATTATGTGAGAGACAAGACCTTTCTTCTCATAGAAGAAGCCAAATCCACCTTGCTTCTGTAAAAACCTATAGAACTTCAGCATCTGGACAGAATTTCAGCCATAAAGTCAGATAACATAGTTTTTCCAATGTGCACTTCAGTCTGTAAGCAATCCTTTTCTTTTTCAGATACATTACACAATTAAGCTACCTTTTTGGAAATACTCATACTTTCCCTGTCCTTTTGTTCATTTATGGAGGGAAAACAAGTTCATAAGAGTTGGCATGTATTCAGATGGGATTAAGGCACACTTGTTAACATTGCAATAAGGACTTGAGAACCTCAACTAGTTCAAGCTTGAGCACTTGAAGTCTTGTCACAGTTGACCTCTTCATTCCCTTGTGCTTCAATGACTTGTTTTGAAATATGTGGATACTTACGTATATTCTACAGTCATGCAACTCCAAATTGTATTAATACACTCCCCCCTTTTCAAGTGTTCCAGGTTTCTATAACAGCCAGGTGCTCCCTAACAGCTGGGGACTGAAGCTTCACATTCATCCACCTCAAACACTTGTGAAAGCTGTATTTGCAGCTGCCAAGGTCAGGTTATTCAGATTTAGCTTACTTAACTCTTGCCTACCAAGAACTGTTTAAAACTCAATCATGTATTTTCCTAGCATGCATCAGGATAGCGTATGGAGCACTTTTTAAGCAAGATACAAACAATAGCTGTTGTTAGTCCTTGCTTGTTGTCTACCAGCTTTAACTTCTAAACAGATATTTGACCTGTCACTCCTCTAGGAGAAGAAGAACACTAGCTTAGACACACAGCAAGGTGAAGCAAGCAAAACTCCCAGGGATGCAACTTCTGTCCCTGAGCACATGCTGTAGCATTATGAGCTCCACTGCTGCGTGTAGCACATCAGCTTCAGAAGGCATCAAACAAACCCATGATTCTTAAAATAACTAGTTCAGGAGAAAACAGAAGTTTCTTTAAACTCAACCCTTGGGATTCCAACAGAGCATAATCCCAGAGGTATCACAGCTGACAGGAGTTGCCCTCAGAGACATTAAGTGCACTTTCACCCCCAAAATACTACTTCCATTAAATCCTTCAGATCACTAGAGAACACAAGATTCGAACAAGATTCCCCTGACTTCAAGCTGCAAGTGTTTAAGCTCCTCCTTTCCATTTGTGGGCTCCTTAGCAGCCAAGACAACATACACAGCACACCAGGCAACCAGAGAGGACTTGAGCAGAGCTTTCCACTTCATCATGCGTACTTGGTTCTGCTTGAGGATCTTTGGGCTGAGGCACAGCGCACACGCTCTCTCTGCCAGCACCTGCTCCTCCTCCATTCAGGGGAGAGTTTAATTCCTGGGCTGCCAGCTGATGAAGCATCTCATCCTTAAATCACTCATGTGTCGCCTGCTCTGAAAGATTTAAGTTCATGACAGCAGGACCTTAGTGACTAGCGCATGTGGAATACTAGCGGCTTGCATGCTTGTGCTTCGTTACCACTGTCTGCCAGCACAAGGTCAGACACCTGGAGGTGCTCATCCACTGGAAAGACAGCGATCCAACAGCCGGGATAAGCCCTATCTACTTTTGCTATTCAGATTCAAGTGTACCATAGTTTCAGGTGGATGCAATGCCCAAGTCACAGGCGGGAAAAGTGAGACTCGTTTCTGTCGTGATGAGGGATCACAGCAGCCTGCAACAGCATATAACAGGACGCAACACCTAGAGAACTCAGCTCAGAGCTGTGGCAGACACCTCCCCGACACCACAGCGTCAACTTTAACAGGAACCGAAATGCTGAGGGACGTAGCTTCCTTCAGAATGCGCCCGGGGACCACAGCCAGCCAATTAGATAACCACGAGCAGCGAGCCATACACGGCTCCGAGCGGCTGTTCCCCAAAAAGATCGTTAACCATCCCATCTCCGACGCTCTACCTCAGGAGACGCCACACCCGCCCGGCCCGGCCCGCCTCGCCTCGCCCCGCTCACCGGTCAGCTCAGCCACAGCCGCGCACACCGCGCCGCCGCCTCACCGGCCTCGCTCACGCTCACGCGCACGCCTCCCTGCCCCCCGCTCCCGCCCTTTATTGCCGCGCAGCCGCCCCGCCTTCGCCTCCCCGCGCTGAGGCGACCAACGGGATCCCCCTCCCCGCCCGCCTGAGGCGGAGGAGCGGGGGCGGGCTCGGCGAAAAGGGGAGGAAAAGGATCTGGGTTATTTGTACAGTAATCAGTAGAGGAGGGGGGGAAGAAAAGTTGTTCCACCGCTGAGGCGGTTGTAATGTTTGTAGTGGAGCTAGAACGCTGTTTGCCAATCACATCTAGGGTATTGTTACTGTCCTACACCCTGAAGGAAGAGGAGTTCAAACCTGAGCACGTGTAGAAAAGAGCTGACCCTATACGAGGAAGCTGGAAAGCTCTTCTAGTCTCAGAAAACAAAAAGAGACTTAGCCTGTTTCGACAAAAAACAAAAACTGAGCAAGAATATGGGCAAGTTTCTTCTATTTATTTTTCTCCGTCAGCGCACTGTTGGCATAAATTACAGGAAACGAGGAGAGATGTTTAAATTAAAGGATAACACTGACACAAGAAGAAGATCTAAGGCATCTTTTGTCAGATGAGATTGTCATCCCTTCAGAGCACAGCACCTGAGAGCAGGCAGAATGGAACCGACTCGTTTCAAGAAGGAGCTAGATAAGGAAATCCATAACGTGGTTGTCTGTGGAGTTACAGAGCTAAACTTGAGGATCCAGGACATCTCTTTGAACAGTTTTTTTGTTGTTTTTTTTTTTTTCCAGGTCTTCTGAAACAAGAAATAGAAATGGGGAACTCGAAAAGGAGCAATAGGAGAAATGACGGAGGCAGAACCACCAGTAAGGAAGTGTCGCACTTGGAGGTTAAAGCAGTGAATGGTCTCCCCCTTTAAAGTGACAGTTTCAGCTGCACTTCTGCCTAAAAATGTTACTGTCTGATGGCAGTAACTGGTTATTTGGACAGCTGTCTCACAGACAAACATCAGTTAGAAGATATTGAAAAAAATATTGTTTGTAATATTTATTAGATATCAATGAATGCAAAGAAACTTGTAGCACACAGTAGTGTTACAGGTGTTAAAATATTACTGAACGATTCACACTTTATTTGCTTAAAAGTTTCTGTTTCACGGAACTGTTTGTAAAAACAAAGGGGCGCCTCAACTATATCTTAAAGATTGAACACCTGAGATGTTTTCTGCCTCTCCTGCTTTGCAGACGTTGACCACGCTTCAGTGGAAGTGCAGCACTCAGTGCAGCGTGTGTAAAACTCCTGACAGTACACCTGCTCTTGGCAATTGCTGCCCACTGGTCCTACAGAAAGGCCAGAGGGACGAGATCTTGACATGCCATTTAAAAACTGCCAGTTCAGACTTGTGTAGGTCGCAGGCAGAGAGAGGAATGCACCTTTGAGTAATGGACACCTGGGAGATTGGGCCCATATCCCCCCAGAAGGAGCCAGCATTCTGCTCTCCGTGTCTGTGTCGTGGATTGCTGCACGATGTGGATGGAAAATGTGGAAACACAGCCCCACTGGCAAGATGAGATTAAGGGCAGGGGCAATTGCATGAGCACTGTGGCTGCTGAGGTTATTCTGACTCTGTCCCAGGGTACAGCCATGATGTACATACACTTAGGCAGGGCTAACTTTACTTTTGGGACACACTGTGGAAGTTGTTTCAAAGGGAGGGTGGAGAAGAAGGACCAAACAAATCATTGAATGGTACTATAACAGAGGAAAAGAGGAGTCTGGGACCACCAAGTGAGAGGTAGGTATGAAATGTTATAAACACAGTGCAGCTCATTCATTTTAATCTAGTAAATAGGGCAGCAAATTTGGTGGAAGAAATGCACTTTAAAAACTTCTAAGTCAGCTCAGTGACTTGGCACTATCAGATTAGTCTTTTTTCGTGTTGCATTGCTGAAGGTAATGTGTCAACATAAATCTTGGTTGCTGCAACTGTTAAAGCCATGAAGTGAAGGAGAGTTATTAATACTTTGTAGTAAGAACTGTCATGCTCTATTCTGTAATTGAGCATCAAATGTGCCATTGAGAAATTCTTCCTTTTGTTTGACATGCAGAGTAACTGTATGTCTGCAGTACTAAGAGCATGGAGACAGATAGAAACATCCCACCCATAAGGGGTTATTCAAAAATCCTCTGTTGGAGCCCCAGAGAGAGCTTCTCTCTCAGTTGGTAGCCACCTTTGCAAGTGTTTGAGGTTTCCTTCACAGTGATGCAGCAATCCTTCCTCTTGACACATTAATGTTAATTAATAAGAATAGACATGTGAAGTCCTGTATAGACTCACAGGGTCTGATTCTGGGAACAGCAGTCTTTCAGAAATCTGAGATTATACCTGCCTCTAGAAGCACAGCAGCATCCAGAAGGTTCTGTCAAAGGGGTGAGAGGTTACTTTGCAGGACTGTCCAGCTTCCACCAGAAAGCTCAGCAAAGAGCTGAGAAGTACTTCCTCTCTAAGGGGCAAGAAATTCCACTAGAGCCCTCCAAAAAAGTGCAAAGAGGGATCTCAAAGCTCAGGCTGCACTGAGATCTGAGGAGGATACAGAAACTCAGTGTTATTGACTTTTGTGAATGACTCAAGATATCACTACCTATCAGCCCATAGAATTATAAAATCATAGAGTCATTAAGGTTGGAAAAGATCACTAAGAGCATCCAGCCATCAACCAATTCCACCTTGCCCACTAAACCACGTGCTTCATCTATACATTTCTTGAACACCTCCAGGGTGTTCAGCTTTGCCACGTGCCTTCTGCAGACTTTGCCACGTGCCATCTGCAGGCTGCTTCTTCTCATGAACTGGCTTATGTGTACACAAGGGTTTTCCTTTTCATGAAGTGTCTCCTGTCCAGGCCCTCCCTCACAGCACATGCTGAGGTGGAACATGCTTACTGGAGGGAGTGGGCAGCAGTTTGTCCTCTGATTTGTTTTGCCTTGCACCTGAGCTTGTCCAAGCAGCTTAATTAGTCACAGTTTCCCAGAACCCAGGGGAGAACACACGGTTAGAAATTTTGGTGGCGTAGGAGAAGAAAAGAACTGAAGAGGGGGGGAGGCAGAGGTCGGTGGAGAAGGTTGCTTTGCAAATCAAACCGAAAATAATATTTACTCTATTTTGGGAGCTGTGAGCAAACTCGGGATCCATCACCATATGTTCAAGCTGCAGGTGGCAAGCACAGCAAAGGGAGGCAAAGAGAGTATATTGTTTAGGGAGCACAGCCCCAGACACGCAAAGCTGCCCCACAGATCATGTACTTTCCCCCACCAGAGATTTTCACTTTGAAATTGCAGGTTTTTCATGTTCCCTCACCACCCCCAGCTTTGGGAAATGATGCACGGGTGTGCAGTGCCTGCACCACAACACTTCCTTCTGCACCTGAACCCCGTCTGCTGCTTCTGTCACTGCAAAAACAGCCACAGTTCACAGTTCACTCCCACAGATTTACAGTTTGAAGGCCCACAGATACAATTAACCATCTCTTAGTACTTATCCAATCCCTGTATGATATGCCCCTGCCATCAAACTCATAGTCCCTTCACTAACATATAGTCACCTGCTGACTTTATTCAACCCCTCAAGACTTAAATAACCCTATGTTTCATCATAGTAGTTTGCCGCATCTGTTAGTTACATTTGCAGCTACAGGGCCATACAGTTTTATCTGGTTTTAACTTCCATCTCTCTTTCTTTTCAGTATTTTCAGCTTTGTTTTTTTTTTTTTCCCCCTGACAGATTACAGGGGGTTTTATTGAAAAGCTGTCTGAATTCCTTAAGGATTTTTCAGCAGGCCCTTTATTTCTAGCTAGTGGCAATGGTAACAGACAAGGAGGTTTTGCATAGATAATGCAGTTGTGTAGTTTAAAATAATCTAAATTAGACCTGTCAGAGTCTCCCCTAACTCATCCTCAGAGGTCAGGTTTATGCCACAGGGCAGTGAGGCAGCCCAGGGAACTGACCCCACTGAAAACTGATCCAGCCACAGAGGTCAAATTCAGCAGGGCTAGCCAGCTGGTAGGGCCATCGCGTAGTTACATTCCAGCAACACAAGCATGGGAGGTGAGGCAGAATGACAGCAAACTTTAAGCTGCAGTGGACTTATGCTTTCAGAAGCCTTTAGGCTCACCTAAAGTACAAAGAGACGTCTTGGTCTGTCCCTTGGGCTACTAGGAAGCTCTACAACTCTAGAAGGTGCTGTGTTCCAACACAAAGATGACAGCTTGAAGAGCTCAGCCTAGGGTAGCATCTTCAGCAGCTCTCTGCTGTGATCTGTCCCTCAGCACAGCAGCTGATCCCCAGTGCCCAGCTCTGTCCGACTCTCCTGCTAGAAGGGGTAACAATCTTACCACCAGAATTTAGTCTCACACTATCTGATCAAAGACCACCATTTTCACACACCCCCTTCCATCTCCATGGCCAGATGCCATCCTCCAAGGATTCAGGAGGGCCCTGCAGACTGTTTTTGACTACTAGTGCAGGAACAATCCTCCCAGTGACAGATAATTGGGGCTTTCAGGCTCTCTTATCTAATACAGAAGAGGTAGGGTAATATCACACATCTCATCTGATGAGAGAACATTACCATACCTCTTTCTATGGTAATCTTGACATTTTACCTCTCCTCAGAAACTTGCTAAGCAACATGCAGGCCTTTCTGTCTGTGCTGTGAAAATCTTGCAGCTACGTGATAGAGATCACTTTGGAAAAAGATTTGAGGAGGAAGTGAAATGATGGGATATTTTGAGAGAAGAAGGAAATGTGTTGCATGGTAATGTTTTGCACAGGTATCCTGCTAACACAGACCATTCTCATTTATGAGAATAAATGAGATAATTTTCGGCTGGGATAATTTTCTTCCCAGTAGCTTGTGCTTTGGATGTAGGATGACAATAATGTTGATAGCACATGCATGTTTTAGTTGTAGCTGAGCAGCACTGCACAGAGCCAAGGACATTTCAGCTTCCCACACTGCCCTGCCAGCAAAGGGCTGGACATGCACAAGGAGCTGGGAGGGGATAGAACCAGGACAGCTGACACCAACTGGTCAAAGGCATGACCCATAACATATGGCACTGAGCTGAACAACAAAACTGGGGGGAGCTGGCCAGGGGCAGCTGCCGCTGCTCAGAGGTTGTCTGGGCATCAGTCAGTGGGTGGTGAGAAATTGCACAGTGCATCACTTGTTTAGTGTATTCTTATAACATTGTAATTATTATTTTACCTTTCTTCTCTGTCCTATTAATCTCTCTTTATCTCAATCCACAGGTTTTGCCTTTTTTTTCCCTCAGTTCTCTCGCCCATCCCACTGCCAGGGGGGTCAAGTGAACAACTGCATGGTGCAGAGCTGCTTGCTGGTTAAATCACAACAGTCCTTTAGATCATAGAACTAGAGAATTATAGATTAGAGGATCATAGAATGGCTTGGATTGAAAGGGACCTCAAAGATTGACATATCTGACCCCAGCGTGTTAAAACAAAATTGTTATATATATTTTTAGTTTAGTAGTTACTCGTTGGTTTTTTTGTTGTTTTTAATCAGACCTGTGCTTGTTCTCAGAGTTGTGTTATGTAGTACCTTACTGTCTATCTATGTTCCTGTTGTGCTGTTAATCACCTTTGTGGGCTGGATTAAGGTTATCACTGTTGTACTTTGCAAACCTATGTTATTATATGATAAAAGTACAAACTGTGAGACTAACCTGGTGTACATACTCAACACTGCCATCATCTCTGTACTTTGGGAACCATCTCTCTGAAACATGAACAATTACACTCTTCACCTTTTCTTAGCAGGGAACCAATCTGTGAGAGAGACAAGGGGAAACACTTTCCCCTGCTTCTTCACCTTCCCCTTCCACTCCAACCAAGTTACAATAGTTCTTGAGAATTTTGAATATACTCCAGATTTTCAAACCAACATGTTCCTATTGCTGTGTCTCCTGAATGTGCTCCAGGTTTTAAGATTAAGCAACTATTTAAGTATATCACCCAGAGATCTGCCCTAAGACTGGATAGTTGTGAGTAGTAGAGTGTGGGAGGATACAGGCAGGCACCTAGAAAAATAGGCACCTCCAGTGCCTTGGAACTTCAGCCCTAAGTAAGTAAGTGCAGAATCTCAAAAAAATAGTAAAATATTTGAAAAAGATATGCCATCCCCTGTCAGTTCCAAAAAGAAACTGCAACATGCTAGGTTTAGGTCTATGCCTATCAAGCTGCACTCATCCAAAATCATAAACAGCACCACATTAGCTACCAGGAAAAGAAAATTGACTCTACCCTCATCTGAAACCAGGACAAGGAGTAAAAGCGAGCGCTGTGCCTCTTTTCACCACTCGACAGATCTGAACCTCATGACAGGCAAAAAAAGTGGCTGCACCAAGATCACCCCATAAACTTCCATGTCATCAGTTGTAACAAATCTTGGAATAAAGGGAGATTATGGGAAGACATGTTACCTCTGTCTACACTGGATTGGATTTCGGTTATGAATGCAAGTTATAGCCTGGCTATAAGTAAGAGACTGGAATAGAAATCTGGAGTTAGTTACAATTCCTCTTTTGCAGTTCAAATTCCACTTGTTGCGTGACAGCCAGCATAAAACAGAGTTGTGAGACGGGTTTCACATTGGGCCAGGCATTTGATTTTAAGAGGCAAGAGGTTCTTCAGATGTTTCACACAAGGCCTGTAAGGAATTATTTGGTCTGGATTTGGTTTTACCTTACAGCTAGAAGCATTGCCAGTCTGGCAATTTTATAATAAAAAGTTTCCCAGAAATATAAAACCTGCGACATTAAAAATGTGCTTACAGTTTGAATCCTAAATGAGAAGCCTCAATTTGGAAAGAGTTAAAGCCTAGCAGTGTTTGCTTTATTCTGCAAGTCAACCTCAGTGTCACTTATGTAGATGCAGTCATGTAGCAGATCTTACAAGCAAGCTGATTTAACCTGCCAGCAGATTTTTCTTGTGGCTCAGCTCAGATGAAGAAAGAACCCTGCTTGTTGTGAGCAGCTGGGAATCTCACAGTGAACGAAGGGTCCTCGCAGCCCTGCTTTAATCTCCAAGAAGGTGATTCACACACTGGTGCCAGAGGCTTCCCAGATAAACACCCCGTCAGGCTTCCTTTCCTCACCACGCTACTTTGAGGTGCAAGGATAGCAGAAATCTTGAGAAAAAGCGTAGGTGCTGGATCTTCCTGCAGCGACTGATCTCACTTCTACCTCAAACCCCCCCTCGGGCCGCGGCTGCTCCAGCCTGCCACCGTTGGCTGCCACACCGCCAGCCCGCGTTGAGGGTCCGCCATCTTGGGACCGGCGACGGCCGCCGGAAGCCGCCATCTTGTGGGCGGGGCCGCGACCGGCGTCGGGGTGGCGGAATGGTGCCGGTGCTGCCGGGGCTTTACGTGGGCGGCGCGGAGTCGTGCTCGTCCTCGAAGGCGCTGGCGGCGGCCGGGGTGATGGCGGTGCTGACGGTGGACGCGGAGGAGCCGCCTCCGGTGCCGGGTGTGCAGGCCTTGTACATTCGGGCGCTGGACGAGCCCGGCGCCGACCTTCTGAGCCGCCTGGACGAGTGCGCTGCCTTCATCGGCGCGGCGCGGGCGGGCGGCGGGGCCGTCCTCGTGCGGTGGTGAGGGCCGGGGTTGGTGGTGCGGCGGGGCCGGCCGCCTCGGGGCTGCTCTGAGCCCTCGCCTCGTCTCGCCTTTCGCCTGCAGCCAGGCCGGAGTGAGCCGCAGCGTGGCCGTGGTAACCGCGTACCTGATGAAGAGCCAGGGGCTCGGCTGGGAGGAAGCCTACGCCGCCGTCAGGGCCGCCAAACCTGACGCAGAGTGAGTGCTCGTCCCCCCGGCACCCCGGCCGGACGGGCCTGGTCTCAGCCTGCTCTCCTCTCCCGCACCGCAGGGTGAACCCCGGCTTCCAGAGGCAGCTGAAGCTCTACGAGGCCATGGGCTGTGCCGTGGACAGCAGCAGCGCCCTGTACAAGCAGCATCGCTTGCAGGTGCTCACGGAGAGGTTCTCCGGTGAGTGGGGCAGCCTTGGGGCCGGGGATGCCTTGCCCAAAAGCCACACCGTGTCACTGAACCCTGAGCTTGGGATGAGTCAGGTTGCCCAAAGAGGTGGTGGATGCGCTGTCCTTGGAGATGTTCAAGGTCAGGCTGGAGTGGCGCTGGGCAACACGATCAAGCTGTAGATGACCCTGTGCACTGTCAGGGGGTAAGACTGGATGACCTTCAAAGGTCCCTTCCAACTCAAATGATTCTGAGAGTCCTGCTGCTGGCTCCTGTGCAGGGTACTGAGTGCTCATGTGTGGCTGTGCCCGTGGCAGCAATGCAGTCTGCTTTATGCTGCATTAGACAGCACCAGGCACCCACTTTCTGATGTGCAGCTGCTTTAAATTATGACAGTTACCAGTCTTAAGGCATATGCCATGATCTGTGACCTCTGACCCCTGCTGCTGTGGCTTGTAGCTGTATTTAAGTGGTTGTGGATCAAGGTAAATCCCTTGTGTGCTGCGTGAGGACAGCATGGGACTATAGCAGTGAGCTGTGGTTCAGAGATTGTTAAAACAAAAACGAACGACAACACAGAAGACTCATTGCAGAGCTTATTTGCTGTATCTCTGTACAGACAGCAAACTGGTGAATGTCCTTCTGTAGTCAAATATCTCAGGTGGGACGAGCATGATGTATCTATTCTTAAATGCAGAGAAGCATGTCAGAGGGATGCCATCATACAGAGCTTGCTGTTGCTGACTTGGATTGCTACCCTCAAAGTACCTGAGTCTTGAATTGGCCAGACAAATGTTCATATCTCTAATAGCTCATTAGTTGAGGATAACAGGGTCTTTGAGGCATATCTAAGAAACAAATCTGTGACTGTCTTTTTCTGTCAAGATGCAGAAGTAATGGTCAGATTGCTGTTTCTACTGTGTTAAATGAATCCCTATTTTATCTGTGGTGGGATGAATCTGTTTTGCTTTGAACTCGCCTAATGGAATGGGTGAGGTCTTTCATCTATTTTTTTGGATTTATTTTGCCAAAGCAAAAAAGATGAATAAGGTGACTTCTGCATATGGTGACCAGGGCAGAATACTGTCTTCTCTCACTGGAATGTATTGGTGTCTTTATCAGTCTGACTCACAACTCAGTGCTGTCCCCTCTGCAGAACTTCAAGACTTACCACAAGAAGTCTTTGCTGTTGATCCAACCAATGCACATCAGAGTCCAAACACAGAAGTTCTCTATAGATGCAGGAAATGCAGGTACTGAACCTTTCGTATTTCCCACAAAATGTCATTTTGAAATGATCTTGAAAGGAAAATAGCCTGCGTAAATCAGAGGCCATGTTGTCATTTTTGGAAGAGGGATAAGATCTTGTGTAAGTTTCCATACTGTGTGTGCCACAGAAATTAAACACATAATGGAATACAAACCTTGAAGTTGTGCAGCACTTGTGCACCCTAACTTGCCACATTATGCAGAAAGGTGTAATTCTGCTTGACTGTAAAGCTGCTTGATCTGCAGTCATATATTCTAGTTTGTTTTTGAGAATTGCTTTCTCCAGGGGAAAAAAGAACAGACCCAATTTTAATTATTTTTATACTAAAATACAGGTAAAAGATCCTGTTGCTCCTTATGCGTAGATATTTGATATTGATTATATGTAGATATTGAGCTTAAAGTTTCACTAGTAGGGAATTGTTTAAACACAGATCTATGTAAGAAACAGTATACAGTGGTGGAGCCCAAGACTACACAAACTGTAAGGTTTGTTAAGATGCAGCCCTAAATGGAGTCAGTGCCTGCCTATGAAAAGATACGCTATCTATGTAGCTACTGTCAACAGGTCCTTGTTCCTGTGCTCTCTAAGCTTCACTGTTAAAAAAAGTGTTTCACCTTTTTTCCCCCTCTGTCATGGAGAACAGGCGCGCTTTGTTCCGTAGTTCCAGCATTTTGTCCCACATGGAAGGAAGTGGACCAACAGCCTTTGCTCACAAGAGAATAACGGAGTCTGTGCATCTTCGTGGCAGTGGCCCTGATAAGTGCACCTCTTACTTCATTGAGCCCGTGCAGTGGATGGAGCCAGCACTGCTAGGAGTAACGGAAGGACAGGTGAATGCATTTTTGGGATATTTTAGCCAAGGTAAAACAAGCTGTTGCTGTTCCTTGATGCGAAGGCCCCCCATGTAACATCCTAGGTCTCCCAGTCTCTCCTGCATAAGTTTTGCAGCTTATGAACAGATTCTCAAATGTTAGAATATCCCTGTATAAGGAAATGAGCTGGTGATCTTGCTGGATTTAGTATGCTAGCAAGGATGTTTGACAGGTTTTTTTTGTGTGTGTGTTTTTAGTATAATAATTTGTGAGACATATAAAACCTGTCGTGGTCTTAACTGATGTCTGAGATTGGCAAGTGTCCTGGAACCACACCAGGTCCGAGCAGCTGCATTTCCACGCCTTCCCTTCTGCCAGCACAGCTGCCTATAACACACAAGGGCATGGCAAGCTCCAGCCATGTCTATATAGCTATTGTTGGGTTTTTTTGGACTGTTTTTCAGACTGTTTAACTTCTGTGAAATGATACAAGAGCTGGCTTTAGTGCAGGTTGCCATAACTTAACGTACCATAGAATACATTTGCATGCATCTTACAATGGGATCATTTGTTTTTCTTGCAGCTTTTGTGTCCCAAATGCACATCTAAGCTGGGTTCCTTTAGCTGGTGGGGTGAGCAGTGTTCTTGCGGCCACTGGGTGACACCTGCCTTCCAGATACACAAAAGTCGAGTGGATGAAGCGAGAACTCTGTCAGTTGGTAACTTCCACACTACCAAAACCTGAACTCCTTGCCTTTTTCAATGGATCTCTAAATGACCACAGAGAAATCCCAAGTACTGTGGGTTTGCCAGGACAGAGCTTGAGACTTCCATCCCTTTGTAAGCAGAAGAATTACTTGAGCGCCTGATCTATTTCTGCTTTCAGTATATCTAAAACACAGGATTATACATTCATATATATATATATATATGCACATTTACATATAAAATAAATGCATGTATATAAGGATAGTAAAGCATGTCCATCAAAGATGTGTTAAGCAGTGGTCAAAGATGTACAAAAATGCCTGAACATGATGTTTATAGCAACAGACTGAATAAAAATGTTATTTACAAATTCTAATCCTTATCTAAAAAAGAAATGCTATCATGTTAGTTTTAGGTTGTGGACAACAGTACTATTTGTCTTCTGCTACAGAAGTTCATCTGGTATACAGGGAAGGGAAAGATTGTAAGGCTCAGTGAAGCAACATAACACAGCACCGTTACCATTGTTGGATTAGCACTGAAAAGCAAGATGCATTTATACTTTTCTTACGCTGAAGTTCCAAAAATCTATCCCAAGAGCATATCCTACAGTGTAATTCTTCATGTAATGCCTGAGGAGATTATGTAAGCTGTACTGAAATGGAGGACCTGAGGTGAAGTACCCTGCTAAGTTGTCTATCCCAGTTTAAAGAGATCCCAAAATGATGAATTAAGATTTCAAGCTTTGCTCATGGTCGTCAGTGTATGCCACTCTAGCACACAGTTTTGGTTTGACATCAGAAAAGAGGACAGGTAAGATCTACGTTAAATCCATTTTATTCTCATTGACTCCCAACAGTTTTTTAAATGTTTTTTTTGTTTGTTTGTTTGTTTTTTACACAATTTCCAGCAACATACATTATGAAATATACAAGAAATTAGGTGGTTGGGTTCTGCCCATCTTTTCATTCCTCCCACAGCTGTGGAGGGAAGACTTGCAGTACACAGTGAACATCAGAATCTCAACACTGAAAACTGAGACACAAAACAAAAGAGACAAAAATATATATGAAACTGTTTGAACTGGTCACACTTCAGGGCCAGGTACAGCACAATAAATATTAGAACTGTATTATCTTAGACATCTTCTGTAAAGTTTATAACATCCTCTATTTAAAGAGATAAGAACATCTGTTTTCTAGCATGAAATGCTACATAGTACAGTGGTGAAGGGTACAAACAATGAGGAATCCAGCAGGGGCTCAAATGGTGACTACTCATTCACACATGCTCATTGTTAAGTAAGCAGCATACACTGAAAGTTTGGTGAACTGTAAACTTAACTGTTCACTACCAGAATATCAGCTGGAATAGTAGTTTATTTTGGGAGAGCTGAACACAGTAAATCCACTTAAGTTTCAACTGAGCTCTCCATGGCAAACAGCGAGTTGATTTCATAATGGAAGTGGCAGCATTTGGTCCTTAGCGCCAAGATACCTTTTCACCATTGCCGTTCAAAGCTGGCAGCTGGTGGAAAAAAACACTTCAGTGTGGAATTAATGCAAAGCCCTGCCACTACCAGTGGCATCTCCAACTGTTACTGTTTCATGACCATAACAAGTCTAGATGTCAGCTGGCACCCAGCTGGGCATTACAGTGTTGCACAACAAAGAAGTATTAGATGTCATCAGATACAAGAGAGTCAAAGACCAACAAGTATGGCAGCATCTTCATCTCTCTCTGCAGCAATGATAGGAGTGCTGGCGCTTGAATTTTGACAGAAAAGCTGCTCTACACTCATTTCTCATCTCATACTAGTTTAGTCAACAAGCCCAAGACACAGCAGAGTTTCAGTTGCTTGACAGACTGTGCTTCCAGAGCATGGTGCAGAAGTCACTAGCTTCTCTTGCATCATAATCAAGAAGGCAGAAGTAAATACATTTTGTACTGTCAATCTTTCCCCTCTTTAACCCCCCACCCCCAGAAGTTTAGCATCTCAGAATCTTTCTACACAAGAAATGAGGACCATCTGTGCCACTGCCAAACAGGCACAATGAGCACAGGTGGAGCAGGAAGATTAAGCACACACTTTTTCTTTCCTAAACACCACCTGGACACTGCACTGGTAGGCAAGAGTTGGTAGAGAGCACCACCTAGGGAAGATTATATTCCTGGTCCACACATGTGGAATCTTGTTACGGGTCATAGTACAAAGCAGCAGTAACAAGCTTCACAAACTAAAGCAGCTGAGTGTTGTGAAACATTATGGGGTGAGTGGGAGGCAAGAAGGCAAAAATATTCTGGAAGTTGAGCACCTGTAGCTTTAATTTTAGCTGGTGCTCCATCCAACAGTCCTATCTGTATTAAGTAGGAAAATAAAATTCTATTTTTCCAGTGTACAAAAGCATACTGGCTACTCGCACATGCTCATCTTCTAGTCAGTCCTTCCTTGGAGAGATCCAGATCTACCACATTTCAATACCAACAGGCTGCAGAAGGGACGTAGTAGGGAAGAACTTTGGTTATATCAACATGTCATGTCAGAATATGGTCAGAAATTCTGTTTCATGATAGTCACTTAGCAAAGTGCTAGACCTAAATGCCCTTACCACTGCCAGCTCAGAATGTACCGCGTGACTGCATTGAGATCTACACCTCCTCTGCCAGTACAGGTCAGTTGGTTGTGTTACCAAGTGATCTGGGGGAGGGCAAGGTGAATTTTTCCCACCCTAGAAGTGTACAACAGCATTTCTTCACTCAGCCAAGCCCACTCACACATCACTCACTATTTCAGACACACAAAGCAATGCCAAACACAAACTAAGGAATGTTTTGTAAAGACACTGAGTATGAAGAGGAAAACATAGGGCTATTTATCAACTCAAGTACTGTTGCATCATTCTTGTAAGGTAGGGAAGCAGAGGAGCTGAGATGAGGAATTCAGAGGACAAACCAGAGTGGTCACAGAGGTTCAGTCTAGTCTTCCAGACTGCGAAATGCATTCTGCATATCCTCAAACAGTTGAGCATAGTCTGCCTTGATTTTTGTTTCACCATCTTTGACAGGGTCCTGAAAAAACAATACATCGAGTGTACAGATCAGTCTTGAAAAGCCTCTGGTCTTTAAGACAACCCTGTTTTGCCACTGCTGTTTTTTTTTTTTAACCTCAGGATTAACACCTGCTACACAGGCCAAATGTACTTACATGTGTGGATTACACTCTACTCGTTGTCTTGCTGAGGTATGCAGACTACAGAACACTTAAATTCTTAGGCTTCTTAGCCTGTTACCCACTTTTTTTCATAATTGTTACTGTATTAGAGGGCCATCTCTACTTAACGTGCATTCATCCTTTTGTTTCCATTTTTCAGCCAAGCTGTCCACTGCTACGCTGCATGCTAAGTGTCTTTTCACAGCCAGGGTTTGTAAATGAAAGGATTACTTCTTTGTATCTACATAACCAGCTCTCAAGCAAGCTTATGTGCCCAGGTGTATCTTGTTCTGTTCTTGCTGTTCTAGAAATATATACTAGGGATCTATTTGTTGCAGAAACAAGCCAGTACCTTGCAAGAGTAGAAGACATTGGCACACAAGAACGCTTTACCTTTACATGCAGTTATCTCATGGTATTTGTTCCCGAAAGATTGGCGATACGAGCAATGGCTTAAAAAAAGTTTTCACAAAATAATCATCATACCTTATATTCCTTAGCTACTTCAACATCAGACTGCATCACAGGTTAATGTCCTAGCAGTAAACGCTAAAACTCATCCAGAGGATGCTGGCATAAGTATAGGAGTAGGAAAGCTGCACTCTACAAAGATGGGTAACTAGGTACATAGAGATTTATCTACAGCAACTGATAACCACTTTTAAGTTACAGCCTGTTAGAGGCACTGAGAACTCCCCCAAAGTAACTCAAGCTGGTTCCTTAGGAACATACCTTGAATTTCATGGAGGTAAGTCTATAGAGGATTTCACTCATGTTCTCTCGGATGATGGACCACGTGATCTTATTGTCACTCTGGGCTGTGGTTTCTACAGCACGGCGTGCCATGTCATAAAATGCAATCATATTGGAAAGCATTCCCACTGTTTTGTAGAAGGGGCAGAATCTGATGAAACAGAAGAGGATCTGTAAGGCATCTTGGAGCAATTAACAGGACTACCCTTTGCTCCTGCCTTTGCAGCAACTCTGAATTCTCACCTGAAATAAAGTGTTAGTCTACTTCATGTCAAAGGAGAGAGACATCCTATTGATTGACCTATCTAAAAACATGGGGCCATCCGTAAGCAAGGTTTCTGAAACAGCATCCAAACACTGGACAAAATGGGATAGAACAGTAACCATTGCTATACAAGTCTGACATCTCAATCTGTGCCACTGCAAACAAGAAAGGGAAAACACTAGCAGTCAGCGGAATTCCTCCTTCCTGTTTTGTCCATTATGGGAGTAGGCTTCCTGCAAGCAGCATGGGAGAGCCTGACAGCTCTGCAAGTTTCTTTGCTCACAGGAAAGGAAGTTTTTCTATGATAAGAGCACTCCAGAAGCTTCACACACAGTTGTTTTTGGTTTTGTTTTTGTTTTTTTCAAATGGATAGGTGACTGTGATGGAAAGTACCTCACTATTATCTATACAGTATATCATGATACTTCCTATGCTTCCCCATCACATAAAAGCATACCTTACCCTAATAACATAATTAAAAGCACACACCATACATAATGATGCATGTCTAAGTTTTTAGAGATTAAATATTTCCAAACCTCCAGAGCTACCTGGGCTGGGAGTGAGCAGAAGTTCAAAGCACCCCCTGGCAAGCTGTTAAAAATGAAGGGAAAGGAAATAAAAGCAAGGGAAGATGATAAACATGGCACGAGGGGGGGGAAAAGAATCGAATAAGTTCTTAACAGATCAAAATTCTCAGTTACTTGCAATCATCTGCTGCTAGAACAAACAGGAAGACTTTGGGTGTTGCCTGTGAAAACAAAGTGGCTGTCTTCTCCTGAGGACACGCTATTGCAAAAACTAACTGAACTGTATTCATTTCAGTGGTTGAAGGCTGGAGAAACTCAGAGTGCGACTGCATTTGGAAAAGGTCTGCGTGCCCTGAGGTATAACAGTATGAATACTTTGTTCAGTGGCTTCTGTTTTATTTTGTTTATGGCAAGTAAAATTCACTTCTGCACTGATTGGATTCCAAATAAAATAGCAGTCGAAATCTAGACTACACATGAATGAGGCAGCACTGTAGCCATTTAGATCTTACCTGTCATAAGGTGTATAACCATTCTGTTGCAAGAAGTCATCTTTTATCAGCTTGGCAACCTCCAGAGTAATTTTGTCTGTTTCTGCCAAAGAAGCCTAGAAAGGTAAGGTCCACTGTTACTTCAGTACTTATGTACATGAAATCATAGATTCACAGAATGGTGGGGCTGGAAGGGATATAAAAAGATCAACCAGTTCCAACCCCCTGCCATAGGTAGGGACACCTCCCTCTATACTAAGGCATCCACAGCCTCTCTGGGCAGCTTGCTCTCATCTCACCACCCTCTTAGTGATTAATTTCTTCATAATACCTAGTCTAAACCTACTCTCTTAGTTTAAAACTTGTTATGTCCTGGAGAAGAACCATTAAGAGAAAGGACACTGAAAGTTAACGTAGCTGCCAGTAGAATTCTGTCTTTTGGTTCTTTCTCACACCCTGCTATCAAACAGCCAATTTACTACATAGGCTTATTAAGATGAACAAAAAGTCAATAGACCCAAAGTAGATTTATCTGATTACGAACAGTGAAAAGGAAGTTTCCTTTGAGACAGGAATGTGCCACCAGACACAGAAATCACGCATGGTGCTGGCATGAGGTATGCTGAAACATCATCTTCCTACTTAAAGTAAAATAATTTTTCCCTTCCATAAAGTTCTTATGTCCAGGGAACAAAAACTAGATTTCATCATTTTAGATCAACAAGCAATATTAAGGATTTGATACAAACCTGCACAACTGCTAACAATGGACCTTTTGGCATTCAAGAAAAATGAAGGAGTTGGTGATAATGGTATGTCATACTGTGCAGGACAGAGAGCACCCTGCTATTATCGATACCATCACTCACCCTTTTCTACCAGTTCCAGGACTTCTTTGTTGGGAATAATGCCTACAGTACAACCACTGGACTGTCAATATCACTTCCATGCCAAGAAACTGAATTTAACCTGCTCTGTAAATGAGTATTTTAAAACACACTTTGGTAAATAAGAAACTGCAGAAGGCCCTAGGATCACATTTCCTTTTCTTCTAAGGCTTGTCTAAAGAACAGAGTTCTGCTAAGGCAAGAGCAGTGAAAGACCTGATCTTGGCTGCACTAGAAAGTCAGTGAACAGGGACAGCACCAAAACAGAACTTTCTCCAAACAGCAGCAGTTACAACATGTTACCATGCATTACAGCCACCTTGTAAATCAGTAGAGCTCACCTAAGCATTGTGAAATTAAATTATTCTCTAGCACATACTATGTACCTGTAAAACCACTACGCTAAAACAGTTCTCATGGAATCCCACACTTTCTCACAGCTGGTTACTCACCTTCCCTACGAGCTGCACAATCTCTGCAAGATCCTCCTCTTCCTGCAGGATCTCTTTGGCCTTTGTCCTGAGAGGGACAAACTCTGTAAAATGCTTGTCATAGTATTCATCCAGGGCACGGGTATATTTGCTGTAACTGATCAGCCAGTTGACAGAGGGGAAGTGTTTGCGTTGTGCCAGCTTCTTATCCAGGCCCCAGAAAACCTGCCAGAAGCCAGTGAGATCAGCCAGTGCTCCAAATGAAAAACAAAATAAATGAAAGCAAAACAAACCATAAAAACAAGCAAACAATCAAAACAATCCCAATATGACAAGCAGGTCTGAGCAAACAACACAGCAAAGGCTACCACAAATCTTTAAAAAAAAGCCTGAGAAAGAAAACCTGCCTTTTACTCATTTAACTGTAGAAGTGACTTTCAAATATGAATCAAATGAATCATAGAATGGATTGGGCTGGAAG